GAGGGTTCTCTGTGGGTACTATGGCTTCCTCCCACAGTCATGCATGTCAGGTTATTCTTAGCAACACGAAATTGGCCCTAGGTGTGAATGTGAGAGTGACAGATTATAACCTGGACAGGTCACCAATCTACCTCTTGCCCTATGACAGGCATAGGCTCCAGCCCAACTGCAACCCTGAATTAGACAAACAGAAGAAAATGGATGGATTGCCATTTAAGAGGTTTTAAAATGTTGCCAAATCTTACAAAGCTCCATAATACAATTTTATTTATGTAGCAGCAAATCACAATAGTTGCCTCAAGGCACTTATATCGTAAGGTAAAGACGTTACAATGATAAAGTGAAAACCCCAAGAATCAGATGACCTCCTATGAGCAAGCACTTGGCGACAGTGGGAAGAAAAAAACAATAAGATAATAATAACAATTTCTGCCTTTTAGCAGAAAGAAACCTCTGGCTGAACTAGGCTCACGGAGTAGCAGCCATTCGCTGCGACCTGTTTGGGATGAGGGGTCAAAGACAGGGCTGAGATGTTAGGCATCTCCACATTTTAGAGAAATACTAGTGGCCACCAGTGCTACCCCTCAGCCTCCTAATAGATATACCCATGGTATCAATTTGAAACTGCCACATCACCTTGTTCAAGTTATCACAGTCACAAGTTTTTTTGGAAAACGTGACCTCTCACCATGACCCTGAGGTGAAGTTCACTGAGAATCTAACTCGTCCAAGATTTTTAGTAGACATACCTATGGTATCAATTTGAAACTCCTACGTCGCTTCCTTCTCGAGTTATCACATTCACAAACTTCGCTGTCCACGTCGCTTGAAGTGAAAACCAAACACCTAACAAATGACAGTCCGTCCCACATCGAAGTAGCATTTTCTGTTAGCAACAGGCTCAATGACAAATGAATGACCATTTCCTTTTTTTCTGTGCTTGAAAAATTCAGAACCTGAATTAAATCTACCGTAGTTTCACTGATAGCAGATTTCTTCAATGACATAAGTTTTTAAATATTGTTTTGAAAGACTAACATTAAAAAATGTGTCATTCACAATTTAGACCATGTTTAAATATAATAAGTTCCAAAGACAGCTGTGACTCTTGACAGTTTAAGCTTTCAGAGAACAGGTGGTAATTTGCTTTATTTTT